CTAAGACTATGGAGAATGAGAGGCTTTTAAGCCATCTGGCCAAGATGCCAAGCATCTGAGTGAAGCAACCTTGGATTCTTGAGACATGCCCAGATGCCACCTGAATATCACCTAGTGACTCTTATTAATGCATGTGGGGCAGGTGGAGTGCTGAGCCAGATCCAATTAAAATTCTGGAGTCACAATATAATATAGTAAAATGGTTTTGAGCATCTTGTCATGCAGCCATATATAACCTACATATCACTTTTCTTCAGCTAATGAGTGATATACAATTCACGTTCACCAAATAGTCTAAACCCCCAAATTTCTGAGGTCCTCTTAACTCCTTTTAATTTTAACCTGTCACACTAATTCATCAGTAAGTCCTTCTTGAATCTTTACCTAAACTGAATGTTGAATGGGTGAATTCCTCTCCAGCAAAACTGCAACCACCCTAGCACAATGCAGCAGCATCTCAGATCTTAATTGATAACTTCACTGCCCCTTGCTCCCCTTTCTCCCTCCTATGATTAACAACAAGAATGATCTTTAAAAACATTCACATTGGAACTATTTAAAAAACATTTAATGGCTTTCCATTCCTTTTATAGTGAAATTCAAATATTTTCCCATGGCCAGTGGAGCACTGCATGATCGATCCTTTCTGTGTATCTATCTCTCTCCTCCTGATTTGCCATGGCCTATTTATTTCTTGAGCTTCTCAGAATCTTTGCATGTGCTGTTTTCTGTCTGCAGCTTTCTCTCCAGTCTCCATGTCAATGGGTCTTTCTTAGCTTTCAACGTTCTACTCAACTGTCCCCTCCTCCAAGTGGCCTTCCCTGTTAGGCCCACTGATTCACCACCCAAACCAGCAGTTACCTTTTATAAGTCATATTAACCCAATTGATTTGTGTCTTCCACCCACTAATGTGTTCTACATTTATAATGTTTATTTATTCCCTAGTGTCTCTACCATTAAAATCTAAACTACATGAAAACTCTGCTCTATTATGCATTATGTCTCTGCTTAGTTTATCAAAATATCTTCAGTGGTTACTCAGTTTCTAGACTATAATAAGAGCTCAACTAGTGTTTTTGAAATAAATGAATGAATGACTATCCCCTATGCTGTGCTGTGCTTGGTTGTTTAGTCATGTCTGATTCTTTGTGACCCAATGTATTGTAAACTACCAGGCTTGTCTGTCCATGAGAATTCTCCAGGAAGAATACTGTAGTGGGTAGCCTATTCCTTCTCCAGGAGATCTTCCTGTCCCAGGAATCTAACTGAGGTCTCCTGCATTGCAGGCAGATTCTTTACCAGCTGAGCTACCAGGGAAGCCTGACTATCCCATATCTACATAAAAAATAACCAAAAAGCCTTGATTAAATGTTCCTCTTGTAATTGGAGGTCAAAATGGCAGGAAATTGTCAATGTATGAGGCTGCCTCCTTAACTTTCCCCCAGAATTGCTATAATAAATATGCCAAGAGATAGCTATAAATATTAACAGATCTGAAAATTGTTTGTCACATAATTCCCAATTAGCAATGCCCACATGATAACTCAGTTAAAATACAAAAGGCCTATGAACATGCTGACCTCTGAATTATGGGTCCAAAATGCCCAGAGGGAAGCTAGTCTTGTATTCAGGACTAGAGAGTTCACATGATTAAAACTCCAAAAGTCATGTGAGTCAGTATGCACTTAGGATTTTTACAGGACAATTGCAACTGCTATTATCAAAAATTCTCTATTCTACTAAAGCCTTGAAAGAGACTTAAAGCGAGTGATAATTCTGACTTCTAGCTCAATTAAAACATGCCTGAAAGAGTGCAGCCATGTATTGCTGAGGCTACTCCTGTGTTTAGAACCTGACGAGATCAAATGGAAGCCTGCAAATCTGAATAGCCTAACCTTGGGGGACCTTTTCATATGTTATGATGATGAACTGAATAGTTATTAATGACCCTATGGAATTTTAATAATATGCCAGTAACTTCATTCTTTATGGTCATTTGCTGTGAGGGTTCCATAGTCACAAAGCAGGGGGTAGAATGTGAGACAGTAGAAATAAATCTGTGGTCTCTGTCCCCCATTACTAACACAGGGCTCTAAAACTCTTGTAATTTCCTATATGACAGGGGTGCTAGAAACATCTTTTGTTCAAATATTTGTTCTTTAACCTTGGTTCCTGATACAGGGCTCCTGAATCCATTGGAACCTCCTAGGTGATAGGAGAGTCTTTGTTTGAATGAAAAGACTCTTAGTTGGATTTTGTATAGCTTCTTGATGAGGACTGGTCACCAAAAAAATCAAACCATGATTATAAACTTGGAACTTTGTGTTCACTTGGGTTTCTGCAGTGAGGCTGGAGAGGCTGGAGACTTTTTACATAGCCTCCATAAAGCTCCTATACTATGGGGTGGAGAACGTCCAAATTGGTCAACAGATTCCCATGCTAGAAGGGTTATACACTCCAAATTATACACTTCAGCTTCCTGGTGATAGAAGCTCCTGCCCTGGAGACCTTTCCAGACCTGATGTGGTGTATCTCTCCATCTGGCTGTTAATTTATCCTTTATAATATCTTTTATGTTAAACTGGTAAATGTAAGCAGATACTTTAGAGAATTTTTTTGTCATTCTAGCAAACTCTCAAACCTGGAAGAGGCCCGTGGCAATCCTTGACTTTGTAGCCAAGTTGGACAAAAGTGTGGGTACCTTGGGGACCCATTACTTGCAACTGGTGTCAGAAGGGAGGGCAGAGTTGTGGAACTGAGCCTTAAGCCTGTGAAGTCTGACCGTACCTCCAGCCAGTTAGTGTCACAATTGAACGAAAGAATAAAGCATCAGTTTGATGTCTGGATATTTAGAACATACCAGTATTCCAGTTGGTTGGTATGGAGGAAAAAGACCACAAGTTGGTGTCAAAAATGTGGTTAGAGAAAGTTTTCTTTATCTATTATTTGATCATTTCACATGTTTAATTTATCCTGGTTTCATTTAATCATTGTATGTTTCCACTTAAAATTTGCCAGAATATGATACATACTCTATATTTTAACTTCAGTTCATTTCAGTCTCTCGGTCATATCTGACTCTTTACGACCCCATGGACTGCAGCACACCAGGCTTCCCTGTCTGTGACCAACTCCTGGAGCTTGCTCAAACTCATGTTCATCGAGTCAGTGATGCCATCCAACCATTTCATCCTCTGTTGTCCCCTTCTCCTCCTGCCTTCAATCTTTCCCACCATCAGGGTCTTTTCTAATGAGTCAGTGCTTTGCATTAGGTGGCCAAGGTATTGTAGCTTCAGCTTCAGCTGACGAGTCTNCATCCTCTGTTGTCCCCTTCTCCTCCTGCTTTCAATCTTTCCCACCATCAGGGTCTTTTCTAATGAGTCAGTGCTTTGCATTAGGTGGCCAAGGTATTGTAGCTTCAGCTTCAGCTGACGAGTCTTCTCCAACACCACAGTTCAAAAACCTCAATACTTAGCAGCATTAACTTAGCAATGCATTATAAATAATATCCCACTTCCTTCTTTCTGTGTCTCCCAATCCTCACTTGTTTCATCCCATTGCACTGAGTCAAGGATTTTTATAATCTAAGTCTTGCTTTCAGATGCTCTAAAAAGTTGTCTCAGTATTTACATTGAGTTTGGAGTCCCTGAACTCCAGAAAAATCCCTCTTCACTCTTCCAGTCTCATGGTGATGATGTAAATGAGGGTAGATTATTATGTAAGTAATACATTTACCACAATCTTTGGCAACACTTCTAGTTTAAATAATGGGTATTAATTTTTTATATATCTAGCTTATAGAACTATGAATGTTAGCATATTAATTGCAATGCTTAGAATTCAAAGACACCCTTTTAAATTTCTACAGCTAAGGAAAACTACATTATTCCAAATGGGAGTATTTGTTTGTAACATGTGCTTAAATATGATTAAAAGAAAGTGTTAGTCACTCAGTCATGTCTGACTCTTAACAAGTCCATGGACGGTAGGCTGCCAGGCTCCCCTGTCCATGAGATTCTCCAGGCAAGAATACTGGAGTGGGTTGGATTCCATTCTCCAAGGAATCTTCCCAACACAGGGATTTAACCCAGGTCTCCTTCATTGCAGGCAGATTCTCTACCATCTGAGCTAAATATGGTTAGATTTCCAGTCAAATCATGTAATTGTGGTGTCCAGACCTTATTTTCTATAGATATAAATCAGTCAGGTTTCCATTCTCATCCTTGTTTTTGGAGTCCTCACAACTTAGACTTTCTTGGTAGTAGAGTTTGTTCAGAAGACTGACTTAAAAGAACAGCTTTAAGCTTGCTTGTCCTATTCAAATCCTCTAGATCAGTAACAGTGCTGAAGTCCTTGGACTGATTGTTGTTTTTAGAGTAGATCAAATGCATGGAATCAGAGGACTTGATTCCAAGTGAATCAGAGGCTTGAATCTGTATCTCTCAAAACAAACTATTGAATATCTCTGAGACTCAGCAGTTTCATCTGTAAAATTGAGGTAAATTGTTAGTAAGCAGCATCATGAGATTGTGTGAGAATTAAATGAAGAAACATTGTGGTTTGGACTCAGACTTTCTGGATTCAGAGACTGATTGCACAGCTTCCTAGCTGCATCAGTCCGGGCAATCTATTTAATGTCTCTGTGCGCCAGGTAATTTATTTGTCAAGCAGAAATAATAGAGCTATCATTATAGGATTTTTATGAGAAGTAAGCCAGCTAATATACCATTGTGCTAGAATTGGACCTGACATATTATAGGTAGAAATAATTGTTTGCTAAATAAATTAAAGTCCTAGGCATCCACAGGTGTTAATACATAATAGTGAAAATAATTGCTATCAGTATTACTAATTCCAAGATGTCTACCAACTGGTTTATAAGTGCATATAAGGGAGAATAAGAAGCCTTATGATTTCATTTTAAGCAAACAGTAAATCAGTATTTGATAGGTTCTAAGTGTGCTACTGGTAAACAAAAATTTATAGGTCATCAGAAATATTAAGAACAAATCCTAAGAATATATTCTGACACTTACCTTTCTCAGGGCCTCCTTTACATCTCTGTTCCTCAGACTGTAGATGAGGGGGTTCAACATGGGGATCAACACTGTGTAGAAAACAGATACCACTCTGTTCTGCTTAACCGAGTAGCTGGATTTGGGCATCACATAAATGAAGGTAATCGTTCCATAGTAGAGAGTGACTGTGGTGAGGTGAGAGGTGCAGGTGGAGAAGGCCTTGTGTCTCCCTTCAGTGGAGCGCATCTTCAGGATGGTGTTGAGGATGTAGACATAAGAGAGAACAATGACAAATACTGTGACCGCAAGGATAGATCCAGAAGAAATGGAAGGGATAATTTCAATAGTGGAGACATCTGAGCAGGAAAGTTTCAACAGAGGGGAGAAATCACAGAAAAAGTGATCTATCTGATTTGGTCCACAGAAAGACAGAGTCAATAAACAACTACCAAATGTGCAAGCATTGACACACCCACCCAGGTAGGATACCCCAATCAAGAGAACACAGACTCTGGGGGACATGTGGGTGGAGTAGAGTAGGGGCAAGCAGATGGCCACATAGCGGTCGTAGGCCATGGCAGCCAGCAGGAAGCACTCAGCTGACCCAAATGTGACCACNACAAATACCTCAAACTCAGCCTCCTTCAGGCCAAACTCATCCTTTCATTAGACCATCCTCCTATGTCCTATGTTTATGGAATGACACCACAATCCACCCAATCTCTCATGTCTGAAACATGGAAATCATCCTAGCCTTCTTCCTCTCATTGTACCACATCTAATAAAATCCTATTGATACTATCTACAATTTAGCCATCCAATTTATTTACCCATTCCTATATTTCCACTGCTAGTGTCCCTACTGTAGGTGAGGCCCTGTTCATTTCTTTATTTTATTTTATTCATCTGTTTGCCTCTCTGTCTTCATTCTTCTGCCATTATAATTCACAGTACATCTGCCAAAGTGATCTCTTGCCGAAGTAAAAAGTTGATGCCAAAGTGGTCCTTTCAAGTCTTTCATGATTTCTTTAGCCTCCAAGATGAAATGTAACTGCCTTAGCACAGCACAGTGTACACTTTCTGATGTATCCCCTGCATATGACTCTGCTTCTGTCTCAGGATGTTTCTATCCAGCACTTGCACTAATCTAACCTTCCTGAAGTATTTGGTGTCTCCTTAGTCCATCTATCTTATTTGGCCTTTAATTCTTGCTCTCCCACTTGGATGTTTCCCAGTTCAGTTCAGTTCAGTTGCTCAGTCGTGTCCGACTTTTTGCAACCCCATGAATCGCAGCACGCCAGGCCTCCCTGTCCATCACCACCTCCCGGAGTTTACTCAAACCCATGTCCATCGAGTTGGTGATGCCCTCCAGCCATCTCATCCTCTGTCGTCCCCTTCTCCTCCTACCCCCAATCCCTCCCAGCATCAGGGTCTTTTCCAATAAGTCAATTCTTC